TTCTTTGGGAACGGGCTTGGGCGAGAGGCTGGCCCGGACTCCGCCCCCGCCCTCCTTTCGGGGGCCCCCCGCGGGGACCCGGGCTGTGTGTGTTGTTTTAATGTCAGGGATGATGTAATCACTTAATAATTGATGCCCCGTGCTGCTTCCCTCCCCACCCAAACCCTGCCCCACTCCTTCACCTCTCGTCCTCCTCCCTTGGCGGCCGTCGCCTTCCCCAGCGCATCCTCCTGCCTATTTCTGGCACCTCCATTGCACTTCCCCCATCCTCCCTTTCACTCTTCCTGTGCCACCACCCACCCACCCTTCCCCTTTCCCCTGTGCCGGAGCCTTCCCTCCTCTTCCCCTGTCCCCCACCCCTTTTGCTCCTCGGGCTCCTTTCTCCTCCCTTCCTTGCTCACTCGCTGGATTTCCTCTCCACTTCCCTAGATCCATGGCTGTTTTTGTTTGGTCTCCTCCCCTCTCTTATCTCTGCAGCCACAGGCGGAGGGGACTGGGCCAGAAAGAGGCCACTGAGCTTGGGCCCCATTGGGATTTACTTGGACTCACTGGGGAGAGGGATAATAAAATCACCCTTCTTACCCCTCCCTTCTCCGATAAAGCTGAGACTCGCTGTGCGTGTGTGTGTGTGTGTGTGTGTGTGTGTGTGTGTGTGTGTGTGTGACACAAAGAGCCCTTTCAGTGTATAGAGAGGAGATGCACAAAGTACCCAACGATAGGCACGATGCTTCTTGTTTCTCTACCCTGGAGCTTCCCTTTCTTTCCAGTGAAGCAGTTGATCTCTCAGTCTTTCCTGCTACATTCACCAAATTTAAAAAGAGAAAGGAAGGAAGGAAGGCAGGCAGGCAGGCAGGCGGGCGGGCCCCCCCAGATTCCGGGTGGCAGGTGCCGGCATTTTGCTGTGTTCACGGACCAGTAGTATTGACTGGCAACTTCAGTGTTTCTTAGATTTTTAGGGGGAACTTAATTCCAGCCGTCTCTAGAGTTGTTTTACTTTTAAGTAGCTTCCCTACTCTTCTTTTCCTCCTCTTGGGGGGATAGTTACTGAGAGCTGGGGTAGGATAAATTGGTGTAAGATCAGAAGGATTTTGTTTCTGAATCAGAATTTAATTAGTGTTGGGCAAGAGTGAGGCAACCTGAGTTGCTGTTTCTCTCAAGTCTAAAGCATTCAGTTTGCTGAAGTCCTTTGAAATGGAATGGGCCTGCAAAATGATATTGTTTTACCTTTTCATCTGGGATATCAATAAAATAGCATTGAGTTGGCATTAGGAAGACCACTGGAGATTGTGCCCTGCCTGCCACAAGGTAACCTTCTGATGCCCATATCCTTCTTCTCATCACTGGGGAAACTGCACACTTTGTGCAGTCTTTCTCCCCAGCTCTACCTGCCCCCTAGAGACTGTGCTCTTAAGAGGAAGGGATACGGACTTTTGGAGGAAGTGGCTTAACTATCTGAGTCTTTGGGCCACTTAGCTATGAAGAGGGGATGTAGAATTTTGAATCATCGGATGTTCCTCTTAAAGTGGAAATGTTCATGTAAATCTGGGGCTTCATGTTAGACCTTGTAAGCCAGTGACACGTGCCTAATTGATAGTGTCAAAAATTAGATTGGCCCTGTTGATTCCTAAGAGCATGGCTCCTCAGCTATCATAAGTAGTGTAACTGTCTCAAGTTTATTCTTCAAGAATTTTATTAGGAAAGAGTTATTATAATTCAAACTCACCTACTTCTGCACTTCCTAAGGACGTTCATCCAGGGACTTTACATTAAAAAGGTAGGGTTAATGAAAGTACTGTAAAAACAAAGGTTTGTTTGCTACCAGTTTGAGAAAGGAAAGTCAGTGCACCGTGAACTTACACTGACGAAGTAAAAGAAAACTTAATAAGGTTGAATGTGAACAAATGCACACTCTGCCTTTCTCTGGGTCTTCAACACCATTTGACTTGTTTGGAGTCCTGTTTAACCTTTGGGGCCCAGCACAGATGCCAACTCCTCTGAGAATCCTTCTCTATCTTCTTTCTTCCAAACACATCATCATGCCTCCAGTTTTGTTTTCAAACTTTAGCAGCAGGCATTATGTTTGTCATATGTCTTTTTCTGTATGTTTACCATTAGTTGGTCCACAGACTGAGAAGAGAAATCTAATCTTATTTGTCTCATTTCCTACCAAGTTTTACCTTACAGGTACTCAGTAGTTTCATTTAATGATCTACACATGTGAGTTAGGTCAACCTCTCTTTTAATTAGACTAATGTTAGCAGCTGAAAAAAAAAATAAGCCTACAAACAAATAATGGCTCAAAAGAAATAGACATTTATTCCAAAATAGGTTGTTTCTGGTCAGTAGGTGATTTTCCTCCATGCCGTGATTCTGGGTCCCACACCCCTGTCTTGCAACTTCACAATCCCCGCTGTAGCTTTCCATTGTAGCCTGTTTCAGTTGACAGATGGGGCACAAGAGAGTGTAGGGGAGCAGCCATTTTTAAAATGCCTTGGCCTGGAAATGATCTCTATCATTCCTACTCATGGTCTTTAGGTGAGGTCTAGTCATATGACCACATTTAATTGCACGGAAGCCTGAAAAATGTAGTTTAACCATAGGTCCCGGGAAGAAAAACAAAAAAGGACAAGAAGAAATGTGTTTGTGGTGAACAACCTTGCTGAGCAATGCCACTTAGTATGGCATATCCACTGCCCTCAAAAAGCTTGTAGGCTGATGAGAATTAAATAGAAACTTGGAGTAAACACCCATCATTGCTTTTGTTCTTTTGATTTTATAAGTTCAAATATTTTTATCAAGCATGTTAAAAAAAAAGAAAGATCAAACCTTGCTTTTTTGTCATGCCTCACGGGGCCACTTCTCAGTCATCTGATACTTCCTGTGTTGAGTTTGATTTGGTTCTTCCACTCCAGAAGCACCTTTCTGGGCCTAATTTTTATCTGGTGTTTCCCTAGACTCCTACAGTGGCTAGAAGGGTCCTTAGAAGTCACAGTACTACCTTTTGTTATGAAGTTAAGCACAGTAAGAGAGGCAAAAATCCTTGTCCCGAGGCCAGGCAGCTTTCTAATGGGAAGGCCAGAGGCTCAGCCAACCCAGTTCTTTGGTCTTCCCCTCCAGCAGCAGCTGTCTGATGTCTTTGAATCCCTAGTATTCTGTAAAGGTTAAGTGAGCTTCCACCCCTCCATAAGCAGGGGAAACTGTTAATATGCTGTGTGGCTCCCATTTTCCACATGCCTTCAAAGGAAAGGAGCAATTCTGCTCTTAGCAGTCGTCATAATTGATAATGCATTTTTTACTGTGAATACTTCATTATATTCATCTGTTCAACAAATATCAGCTGCTTTGTTATTTTGTGCAAGGTATTGGAGAGGTGGGCTGTAGAAATGAATAATTCTGCTTTCAGGAGCTTACAGTCTTCCTAGAGGAGTTTAAAATAATAAATAATATCCAACATTTATTGAACACTTGCATTTGTTATAGTCTGTTTAATCTTAAATCTTAACAGTAATGAAGTGGTCTCTCACTTATAACCACCATTTTTCAGATGAGAAATTGAATCAAGTTTCAGTAACTTGTTAAGTAACTAACCCAAGATCATATAGCACTAAATGGTAGAGGCAGGAGCAGGTCCAATTAGTCTATCTGCAAAAGCCTTGTCTTAAGCCACTAGTCAATACTTGGAATTCTGCACAAAGCTGGAATTAATGTTAGGTGCTGTAAGCAGGGAGTTACTACAATATTTTGGAAACTAAGACTTCCAGTTGTTGAGAAACAGAACTTTATGCCCAAAGATCAGTTACCACGCAGATCCTATTTACTCATCTGGGAAATTAAAAATAAAATAAAAATTGAAAACAGGAAAGCAAATCATGTTGATATTGGAAATAGTTTTACTGTTTGGTTCTTTATTTTAAACTGGATCTTTCTATAGTCCACAGATAGGTCTATATGAGTTGCCAAATTGTGTACCTCTCTATTCATTCATTGCATTTACCATTTGCTGGACCTTGAACTAGTTGTTTGGGGGCAAAGGCAAGGGTGATGCTGCCCCAAAGAACTTACTTATTAGCTCAGAGAAATGAGGATCTCTCTATTGTGAATATTGTGATTCTAGGGAT